AAAAAAAAAAAGAAAAAAATCAGAAATATTACAATAATGATAATTAAAAGTAATTATTTTTCATAAAGGGATGCAATTTATTAATATATCATACATATTTGTTTTATAATATTTCAAATTTGGAAAAAAATTTTTTTAAAATTAATTTCTTATCATATAATTCTTTTTAATTAATTAAATATCTTTATCTTTAGATTAAAACACATATATTTATATGTAGGTAATACAATAATTGTTGTTTTGTTTTTTGTCTATTTTTTTTTTTTTTTTTTCTAAATTCATTAATAACAACGCAAAATTTAGAAAACAAATAAAATTCTTCATCATTGTCGTAAAATATATAAATATATACTCTCGAAAAAATGTCATTTATTTTTTTTTTTTTTTTTTTAGAAATTAATGACGATAAAGAAGTAGACTTTTCGCACATTTTACTCCAATTAGGCTAGCGTATTTTCTTAATTCATTTTCTTCACGTTTTACAGTCTCTTTATTCGCACGTATTTTATAAGCTCCATAAGTCATTGCTATCTCATTGTAAAAAATTAACATCTGAAAAAAAAGAAGAAAAAAAAAAAAAAAGAATACAATTTTTAATGACAATAAAAATGTAAATAATATTCTGAAGAAAGAAATGGAATAAACAAACCTTATTAATGTCCACTGCACCATCTTCATCTATGGCATTTACATCCTCATTGAATCTACAATACTTATTTTTATCTAAATTTTTTAAACAAGGTTCAATGTCAAACCAAACATAAGTTTCTGGACATAAAAGCTTAGATGGTTTCAATCTAGCTTTGTATTGCATCTTAGGGCAAGTATGTATATAAAATCCCATGTAATAATATTTTAAATTATTTGCAACTTTATTAAGATGTCTTGTTAAGTAAATTTCTCTTAAAGAACTGAAAACAATAAATAAATATACATTACATATTTTATCTGAATAAAAAAAAAAAAGAAAAACTTAAGAATCTCATCATTGTTCTATCCACTGACCTGAATGTTCCTAAAGAAAGAAAAGAATATTCTGGATCATAAAAGAAATATACACTTGAAACACACGATGGTAAAATATCTATAACACCAACAGCAATCAGTTCATTATCCAACCAGTATTGTTCGTGAAAGGAACCATATCCTTGAGGTGGACCATTTTCAGGTGTCCATTCCTTTAAAATTACATATTCAATGTTTATCATCATATAAAATATTTTTCACAAAATTATTCATTAAAATTTTTAATGTTTAATTTATATATGAATAACTTTGAATAAGTTGAAAATATTAAATGGAATACAAAGTGTACCTGCAAAGGACTCTTTACAAGAAAATTCATAAATGATTGTTCAGTACATTCCTGTGGTTCATCCCCGTGAACCGCCATTTGATATTTTTGGTAAAGATTTATACTTTTATCAAGAGTATTAAGAAATTCTTCTGTCATTACCCTCAATAATTTTATCTAATAAATTTGTGAAAGCAATTGTAAATAGAAAAACAAAATACAATCATTTGCCGTTATTATAACATCCAAGGTAAATCATATTTCATTTTTAATGGATTTTTAATATTTTAAGCTAGTATTAAAATTAATCTCTCATAAAATTTGAAGAAAAACAACCTCATATACATATTTCCGGTTTAGTTAACCTTGTATGTTGAAAATAAATTATTCATTAAAAAGGTCCACTTTGCTCCAATATAATTTCTTGTTTAGATAAATAATATATACATTTTTAAAGATAAGTAAAATATCAGAATAAACAATATTATATAATTATATAATTTTTGTTCATTTTGATATTTTACAATTGTTATTTTGGCACATTTAAAATTTACCTGTAATGGGGATCTCACAAGAAACCTTGTATATTGTTGCTCTGTAATCTTCTCTGTTGGAATCCGGTGTATTGTGTTTTGATATTTTCTATAGACCTCATAAGATTTTTTTGAAGACATTACATATCCAGAGCTCATCGGTGAAGTTCTAACTAGTTTCAGCTTACAAAAGTCATTAATTTAACACAAATGTATCCAATGAAAAGTAAATCAAATTATCTTTAGGTAATGCATAACAGTTAGCAATTGATTTGGAAGAACAGAAAAGTATTCTGTAAAAATTATACTTGTTTGAAATTAACAATCTTAAAGTTACAGAGCACTAATATATAAGACTAATTTCTTGAATTATAAATAAATGACTTATCTGCAACACGACATTTCATAAGCTTAAATTTTAAATACTATTGGAGAAAAGAGGACCATATTACCAATTGCAAAATGTTTTTTGCAATTGTCATTTGAAATGATATCAAGATAAATAAAACACATGATAATATAAATATTAATATTTCTTTTGATAATACAAAAAAAAAAGAAAAGAAAAGAAAGAAAACATTTTAATTGATCATTGTTATTAATGAAATACTGGAATATATATATATATATATATAAAATTGATTTAACTTATTTAAAAGATATTTATCTTAACATATCTTACCTCTAATTTTTTGGTACCAGTCCATATTTCTTCAAAAAGTTCTTCCAAAGATTTAACATTATTCTGTTGCTTGCTTTCTTTAAAGGCAGTTTCAATTTCTTTTAATGATTTCCCTTGAGCTAAAAGTTTCTTTTGTTTGCGTTCTATGCGTAAAAGTTTTGCTTTTTTACAAGGTATATTGCTAGGATTATCACTTTCTTGCATTGTACTTGTTTTTACAGCAACAGCTATACTTCCATCAGAATTTATCATAGAATCACTACTGTCTAAATCTGGTTCTTTCTTTAAATCACAAACATTCTTACTACAATGTAACGTATCAGGATTTAATTTTTCATTAGGTTCATTATCTATAGATGATACATTTAATTTGATAATATCTTTTTGCTCTAGTGTTGTCGGCTTATTCGGAATTTCATCAAAATTTATATCTACAAACATAACGGGAACTGAAGGTTAAGAATATTCAACATTGTATTGTAAATAACTATAATCATAAATGTACCAGTAATATCATGTCGTTCATCATTTGTATCCTTAATATCATCTTTCTTTAGTTCATTTTTTAAAAACTTTGTCATACGTTTTAAAATTTTTTTCTGTGACTTCGAAATTTTAAAGTTTAAAGCTTCACATCTGTAAATTATTCATCTATAGATTGTTTTATTTTTGTATATAAGAAAAATCTACCCACCTGATAGTATACATAGGACAACATGTTACATCCATTTTAGGTTTATAACAATAACTACCACTTCTTCTCCATCCTCTGTCTATTAAGTTTTGATAATCATTAACTGTCAAACAGTGTGCCCACATGCCTAGAATATTTTTAATTATTCACATATGTATACACATAACAATATTGTAGGTTAGGTTATGTCATAATATTTTATAAACTATTATTATTATTTTAAGAAATATTACCATAACTAAAATTAGTATCTGGACGTTTGCAATAACCACACGAATGTCCTTCTTCTTGAGGATAATACTCAACAACACTATAACGAGTCATTCTTTCTTAATGTTTATTTGATTTCGTTCAACAATCACTAATTAAGTATCTAATATATTTTTCACATATTGTAATTTTATAATTAGAAGAATGAAACTCTTTATGAACACATTTTTGATCATATAATAAAACCAATTATATAGTCAATATTACTAAAGACTGCTAATAATCACAAGATTATTCCAGAACGTGCTCTTTGTGCGCCATCTTGAATTGTAGGAGACGAATAACGTTCGAGTACGAATTTTCAAACTTGCAATTTATCAATTGAAATCATTTTTGAAATTTCACAGATACTTTAGACAATTTCAAACGTATTAATTGTTTTCTAAAAAAAATATTCATTTTCAACATTCATATTAATATATTGAAACGATTAGATAGTCAAAATCAATACATGTATTTATATATTAACTTAGCTGACAAAATAAACATTCTATCGTGACATCCATTATTAATTCTAGCAAATAATTCATTAAGTATTTATCAAAAATATAACCTTTCCGATAATTCTTTTTATTAAAGATAAACATGGAACTATCCAGGCCAATCGATGTTACTGAGGGCGTTCTTCAAGGGGAAATACTAAGTCCACTGTTATTCGTTCTATTCATCTCCGATATGGAKAAAGCCCKTAGAGGAGCTGACTTGGGCGGTATAAGCATTGACGGACTGAACGATATTATACTACTGCTATTCGCGGACGATGCTGTAGCTCTGGCTAGAACCCCAGTAACCTTGAGGAAAATTATAACAGCCCTAGAAAAATATTGTTCCGCAAATGGTCTAGAAGTAAACACGACGAAGACGGAAGTCGTAAATTTCCACAGAGGAAGCCGAGCATCAAAAGAAACCTTCGCGTTTAATAAAACCCCCCTCAAGGYCGTAAAGGTATACAAGTACTTAGGCATTCAGTTTTCCTCTTCCGGATTAGGTAGAACAGCGAGAGAGTCAGCGGTCCGAAATGCAAATATGGCGATAGGCACAACGATGCAAATACTGGGCAAATCCAAGGCGGACTCGTGGGAAGGGCGTATAAAACTGTACAATAGCCTGATTGCTTCGACACTTTTGTATTCGGCTCATATTTGGGGGCTCAGACAATTGAACGAAATGGAAATAGTACAGACGAACTACTTTAAAAGGGTCCTGGCACTGCCGAGAAGTGCACCTAATGGACTGTTACGCTTAGAATTAGGCCTCGTAAAAGTGGCGCTACAAGTTTTCAAATANTTCGTACAAGGGCGAATCATATTTAATCGACCAAAGAGTGTTGTGCTCTATTTGTAACTTAAAAGTCAATGAAACAGCCAGCCATTTTTTATTCGAGTGCCCTGCCTACCACAGCATGCGTGAACATTACCTGAAGAGCATCATAAAGAACTCTGCGAACTCTTTAATGACAATTTGTAATCTAACAGAAACTAGAGACTTGAAGGCTTTTTATGCATATATTGTGAATGCGTTAATGTTAAGGGCTTTTATCCTGTACGAATAATATACCCTCTTACACTCTGACCGTCAATTACGCGTGCGAAACTTTCTTAGTTTAAACATTGTTAATCATAGATCATGAATGAATATACAAAGAACTCACTCTGCTACGAGTATGTAACTTATAAGCAGAATAAACGAATTGAATTGAAAAAAAAATAATTCTTTTTATTTTGTCGTTAGTTTGTAAAAAAAAGTAGCGGTTGCTTTTATGAATGAACCTCTCTCTTTCTTATGAACAAACAGCTGTTATGGCTACACAAACATTGATCTGCCTTTTGGGATTCCCCCTTCTCACAATTTATGTTTTACGAATTTTTACATTGTTTATTCTTTCTTTTTTGTTATATTAAAGCGTTAATAATTTTATATTACAGTTGATAATAGAAATATATATATATATATATATTTTTTTTATGGGTTAGAGGGGTTCATTCTCTTTACAAATATTTATTTTATCTTCCCATCTCTTATTAATACACAACTTACAATTAACTTATTATATATAAATAATTTATATAATGAAAATATATATTTATATAGAATAAATAAAATAACAAAAGTTTTTTTCTTCTTTTTTTGGTAAAAATCTTTGATAAATATTAATTTTTATACATTTTTTATATCTATGACATTGAATGTAGATAGTCGATAAAATTGTCTTTAAAAGGACTACACACAATTGTAGGGTTTAAAAATACATAGTTCCATTTAAAAAAAAATGACAATGAACTTTCAATCCCCCTAAGTGTGCTCTTAGGAACAAATTTTCCTTCTAACTTTTGTCTCTTGACAATAAACAACTTTTGTTCGAAACATTTTGTTTTTTTTTTACCACTATTCATTCTTAGCTGTGGTTCACCTTGAAGATACCACACTTTTCTTTAGTATCATTATTGATTTGAACATTTCTATTTTATTACACTATTAACAATAAATGAATTTGAAACGTAGTTCACAATTATTCATTTATCATAGGATTTTAAATTTACGAGCTCTTTTCTTTCACCTTTCTCTCATATTTTCGTTTTTCGTCATATGCGCGTAATTCCCCCACCATAATATCGAGTAGATACGCTGTTTATAAAATCAGCAATTGACGTCAACGGAAACCACCCTTCAGGACGTTAACGCTAAATTAGATCAAACGGTGTATCAACAAATTATAAGTACCCTACATTAAAACACTCCTCAACAAGATTCTGTTTTTTTTTTCTTTTTTTTTTTGTTTTCATTTACATTGATAATCCTCGATAATTAAATTTTTCTTTTTTTTTTTTTTTTTAATTGAATATGTAATTGAGTATCTACTAATTCCTTGTTACTGAACGTGAGCTTTAAATTACCTTTAAAATTATATCATTTTCTTTTATTTGTTTTTCCATACATTCTCATGCACGTGATTTTACACAAGCGTAGTACTTATCACTTTATTGAAAATAGGTCAATTACGGGATAATTCTACACTGTGATAAACTACGCATCCCTTATATAAGAGATTCGATGTAAAATTAATTAAACGGATCGAGATTCTTCTAATTGACAATTACATTTAAATCTAAGAAGATAATAGTATTATTTACACAATGAAAATTGTTTGTTTCTAAATAAAAAGTAATTAATGAAATAAAATTTTCAATAAATATGAAATATTTTAAATCGTATTAATTGCTTCATTATGATTAAAATAAAACGAAAGGTTATAAAATTTAATTATTATTATTACTTTTTATGTTTGGCTACATAGAATTTATTTTTATGAAAAAGATTTATTTATATCTCACAAATTCGTCAATGTTAATATTAATAATTAATAATGTTTTGCAGAAAATTTCAATGATAGCCGCGACAACAATAAATAAATATTTCCTCTAGGAATTAACATTGTCACGCAATGAAGAGAGTAGCAAAATATTTATTAAACTCTTCAGTTTCCTCTCAGTTCCTAGTTATCCCTGGCGATTCACTAGAAATTGACGTAACACATCTACGTGGGTGTTTACGTGGTTTTCACGTGGGCGTTTTTGGCCTGTTGCGAGAAATGAATTGGAACATGTTGTCTGACCAAAATTTTACCTTATTTTTTGTAATCATTTAAGACAAATAAAAAAAAAAAAAAAGAAAGAAAAGACAATAATATGAACAAAATATACTAATGAATATTTGCAAATGTTTAATGAGTATGAAAGCTTTTTCATTTTATTATTGTTGAAAGATTTGCAAATGCTTACGTGAGAGGAATGGATGAATGAGGGAGAAGAAGCGAATGGGAGAAGAGAAGGGTAAAGAGGAGTAGGGGGTGGAAACATCCCGAGGGTAGCTACGTGCTGGGGTCATTGCGTGGGTAGATCAAATGTATCACAGTAAATGAAAAAGTGTAGGTGGATGCGCGCGTTCGCAATTGCGTCTCTTCGCAAATGGCGCGGCGCAGTTGTGTGGGCGAACAAGTAAGAAAACAAAAAGGGATGAGAGTGTAGATGAATGTACAAACATACACAGAAACACGATCATATATATACACATACAAATACAAGAAAACATATACTTTCTTTCATCATATTCTTTGACATACACACGTACATTCTGTATATGTAAGGTAGCTCTGTGTTTGAAAGGTAGACGGAGGGTAGGAAATGGGGGTTGAAGCCAAGGGTGGGGGTGGTTGATCGACCGTACCAGCCACTGCTTTTCTAGTCGTCCTGCCAAGCTCCGACGTTCATTCCAGGCAGATCCGCCAAAGCTAAAAGGACGCGAGCAAATCGCGTTTACAGCTTTCAAAAGGACGAAGAGAAAATCATTCGAACCAAGTTCGACCAAGTTCAAACTCGTCCATTCTATCTTTGTGGTCTAGATAGATATTAAGGTAAATTTTCCTTTTTTTCTCTTTTTCTTTTCGATTTATACAATGTACCTATACTTTTGATTAAATTATTTATTATTAATTATTATTAAAAAAAAAATTATTATTTTTTGTCATTTTTTATTTGTTTTCTTCCATTTCTTTTTTCCACCTTCTTCTATCTCTTATCTCATTTTATTTTAACTTTATATTACACATAAATTGTTTGTAATTTTTATTGAAATGAAATATTTATATTAATTGTAATTTATCTCAACTTACTGTTACGTTTTATATTACTTACTCAAAAATAAATTATATACAAACTTCTAAATTCAATCTAATATCTATAATAGCATACACATAACTTTCATCTTATTTTATTAAATATAATTGTTACAAATTTATGTATACAAATTGAAATAACTACGATTTAAAAATATATGAGCACTGTTTTTTTTTTCTTTTTTCTTGCACCTTATAAACGTGATAGGGAAACGATATTCTAGGATAAATATCGGTAGCCACGGCTGACGTAACATTTACCTGAGGTATATAAGCGTGCATTTTTAGAGAAAAGATCATGCGATATTAATACTTTGTACGTAATCGAAAACGTCATAGAATACGTCATAGATAGAGACTTTTATCAATGAATGGATGATCACTGGAAATATATATCTTTAATTATGAGCGACACAGCTGTGAGCGTCGTGTTGCACGATAAGTGACTACAGTATACCTAGATGCAACAAGTGTGTGATTTCTAGGTCTACTATATCCGACTTTCTGATACAGTAGTTGGCCCGCTTTAATTGAGAAAAACTTTTTGTACGATTAGATCTACGTACTATTCTACGATTAAATTATAAATTGACTAATGTAGACCCAGATTTTCATTAGTAATTTAATATATCATTTTAAGAAAAACACACACACATTTTTTTATCAATTTATTTTCAAAGATATTTATTTGTTTTATATAAGTATATATATATTAAAAAATTATTTCATAAATTTACCTCTCTAGAATATTTCAAAAGTATGTTATACTATAATTATTATTCTAAGTTTCATATAAATGACTTATTGTGTGTGTATATATATAAAGCATAGAAGTATATTATATAAAATGTTATCACATCGACAACTTTATCGTATCTTGGAGTATTATATTGTTTAGCAACTGTAACACGAACGAACATTTTCTTACGTAGCTTCCTACGAGGTATACCTATACATTAATTTTTCATTAGCAATGTATACTGAAAATAGACTCTTGACATTCCGCGTTACGTGACATTTAAAACTTCCCTCTTTTTTTTTGTTCTTTTTTTTTTTTTTTGTTCTCTCACACTGACCTGATGCCTTTAATTACTGCTTATAATACTAAACGTAAAAATCTTAACTAATTTGTAAAAAGAGCTTTGTGAATTGTCATTGTGTGTGAAAAAAAAATCCAATTGTATATTTATTCTTTACAGATGTTTAATAGTTGGGCGTATTTGTTGATACTTTGCACTTTAACTGCTCAAAGTTTTTCTTTACCAACGAGTTTGAATAAGGATGCGAAGACAACTGATCAAATAACGAGAACAAAACGTGAGCAACATCATCCAATAGAATCGAACAAAAATTTTGCAAAAGATATCACAAAATTTGTATCTTTAGCAAAACGAGCTCAGGAAACGTTGATGTTTGGAAATCAACAAAATCGACAGCCCGAAAATAGAGGCAACCCGTATGTTTCAAGCACAGAAAAAAGTAAAGAACATTAGTTAAATTATACAGTAATTTAATAATTCGTTGTATCGAGTATGTGCATGAAACTTTGTATTTTCAGGGGCATTAAACGCGGCAGGATTAGATAATTTAAAGATGTCCCTTACGAAAGAGAACAAGTTTCCTAATACAAAATCTTTGAAAGAAAGAAATTCATTGGACGAGCGCGAAGTATACAATCCACATGATAATAAAAATTACGAGTAAGTTCAGAATCAATATAATCGAATTTGTAAAATTCAAATTATAATGTAAATCTATTCTATAATTTAAAGTATCTACCCTGGTAGAACAAAATAATTGAAAAATATTGAAATAATTAAAAAGAGATTCATAATGTCTTTTTAATATTAAATACACACGTATTCAATATTTTGTGTTATTAATGTAAACTTTTCAATTGATAATTTTGTTTGAATATTTCTATTCAGATATGGAAAAGTCATAGTGACCGAAGAAGGTGACGAGATTCCTCAAGTATCAGATGTAGCATCTTATAATCGTTATTATATGAACGACGATCGACGAAAACGATTAGAAAAATTAATTCCAAATATTCGTACAACAACTGTTCCACCATCATGCACGGAATATCACATGGCATATCCAACCCAGAACTCGCCGATTCAAACGAAAAAAAGGTGAGTGAACAAATGATTATTATCATCATTGACAGTATTATCTTTTATTTTGACGATATATACACATACATACATATACGCACACCTGTAGAATGAGAATCCCAGGAGAACTAAATCAAGTAGTATACCCTGAACTACCCTAAAACACTCACCCCCATTGGCTCCTTTCTTTCAAACTATCCTTCTATTTCTTCGAAGCTTTTTCTCAATGGGGGTGAGAAAGTCGACGAGAGAGAGCTGGTTGATGGGAGGGCGTTGCCCTCGGTAGGAACGGCGGTCGTCAAGCCGACCAGAGTCGTATTGAACAACTCGGAGATGTGTCGTAGTCATACCGATCAGTAACCGACTCTCATTGACAATAAAGACTATCTTTTGAAACTGATCATATAAAATTTATTGAAACACTGAATTACGTTTTGTTTTTTTTTTTTTTTATTTAAATTTTTATTTATTCAAGAAAATGTTTCTATGTATAATACTTGTTTTACATTTTTTACGTCAGCATTCTATTTTTATATCGGAAGGGTATACGTGACGAACACTTTTGTTTGAACAAACGTCGATTAAATGTCATAGGTCGTAGAGTAGATAATCAATTTTAACTATATAGGTGTTATTTATTTCCTTCCTTCCCTCTCTCTCTCTCTCTCTCTCTCTCATCTTATTAATAATCGATAATATTTTGATCGAAATGAACCCCTTAAGGAACAATTTTTGTTCAACGTAATACAACGCAACTCGAGTTAACTCGAGCCCCCTTCCCAACTGCAACTTAAGGGGTTAAAATAAATGATATTTTCTCATTCGAAAAATATCTTTCGAGTCACCCTATATAGTCTACTAGAACCCTCCTCTTATTGTTAGATCTTACCCTTCCACATCTCCTTCCTTTACATATTACGTATAACATAGCGTAAACTCGCACACATTCTCACAAGCACGTAGATGAAGTTTGGCGCAGACTATCGTTCGATACCAGTGACGCAAAAGAGGTGGGGTATAGTGCTGGAAAAGGGGTTGGTGGTAAAAACGGTGGGAGGGATATTTTCCACGGTAGTGTGATCGTACGAAAAGCTGAATGGAACCAACCAGGAAAACTAGGTCACGGTATTACTGCCGGTATTACTTGTTATATAGTCAGACAATCAGCTGATATCAACGCTTGACTATTTTTCAAATTATTTCTTTTCTCGTTGCATTGTAAAATTCTTCTTTGGTATTAACGAAAGATAAAAACAAAAAAAAAAAGGAAACAAAATTATTCGGACTAGTAATAAAAATCGTTAATTTTCGAACATAAATAATAATATCAAACGAATATAAATCGAATATTTAAATTAATGAATATAACAAATAAAAAAAAAGGAATAATTGAAATAAATATTAGCGTTACGCGCGATTACTCGTGTTATTACGTAGTACCTTGCTTATCGATAGGTCAAGTCATTTTTTGTCTATAAATAAATTATCAATTATCGAATTATTAATAGTTCATTAGATGTGTAATTTTTTTTAAACGTTTTTAAGAGTTTATCAGAAAAAAGAAAATTCAATTTATCTATTATATTTATTTTCGTTTTCGTTTCAATACGAATTTAAAGGACGAAAGTAATCTTATGATTTATAAATATCCGTATTTAAGCGTTCTGTTATACGATCCTTTTAGCATTCCTATCTACGCGGAACCACGTTATAAACGCGAAGTGGAAATTCACCCTGAACCTGTATGGAATCTTTTATCAATGTGGGGAAACGGACATCGCAACAGGTTACGATTCATTACGTATATACTTACACACGCGTGTGTATACTTCGGTTGACAACTTTGACTTTTCCTTAATGTCAATTAATATTTACTTGTTATGCAATTATTTAAAAGTTTGCATTTCAATTGGCACAGATATACAAACGAGGATTACGATAACGAAGACGATGGTGACCTGATGGAAGATGAAGATCCCAGAAATGGTAAAATGAAATAAATCAGAATATTTATTGAAGTGAAAACTTCTTTAGAATAAGTGTGATTTGAAAAAATGAAACGCGGTGATGTAATGGAGGGAAAAAAACGGCCTTAATACTATGTAAAAAGAGAAAAAGAGACAGACATATCATTATTTATAAATTATCATTATTTATAAAAATATTTGATTTGCAAACATTTTTTAAAGTGTTTTATTATTTACTTTCTTTGTAATTATTATAAAAATGTGCGCCTGTATGAATGCAACCCTCCAGACACATTTGGAAAATGTTGCTTGCGAGCGTCATCTACTGGGACGGAATTTTTTTGCAGTCAAAACTGTTCATACACGTATGTATGACGGGTTGCCTATCTTTCGGGCAGAGTGTGTTTGGAGGGTTGCATAAGAACAGGCGCGCATTTTGAAAATTAAATTAATAATTAAATAAATAATTACAAATTAAAAGCACAAATAATATTATAATAATATTATATAATAAATTATATCCTCGAAACTTGTTTATTTGAAGATTTCACTTCTAACTTGTATGATATGCACATATGTTTTTGTTTTATTTCATAAATTATTATATAATAAATTTGAACAGCTCTAGCTTGGATGAATGCTCCTGGATATTCTTCGTATCGTTATGGTGCAGATACCCTTCCACCTTCTGAAATCGGTATCGTGCACACTCATCCATCTGCTTATTACGATCAATATGAAAATCAATATGGACAACAGTACGATAATGGTGTACATCCTTATATCAATCAATATGGATCTCTTTATTCTCAAGATTCATATTATCCTACAGAAAGGAAATATATGACTGCAAAAAAACGAGCACCGGTGAGACGCCATAATAATGAAAATAATTCTTTAAATTGAATAAGTATTTAAAATTTACATTTTTACTTAACTTTATTTAGTAGAAAAGGAAGAAAATAAAAGAAGTAATTAAGTTAACTTAAAAAGAAGAAAATAAAAGAAGTAATTAAGTTAACTAATCTGATTTATTCATTTCAGAGTTATGATTCGTACGTAAACGTTGTTCCACTACAAATGGGCATCCAACCGCGTGGTTATCCTCCTTATCCTCATCATATGGTTTATTAAATTTAATTAATCTAAATTAAAAACATATTTGTGTGTGAAGAATTTTGAATTTATCATCGGGAATATTGGACAAAGAAAAAAAAGAGAGTTTGTTACGTGCAAGCTCACTATTATTTGGACATAATATTGTACGACACGTTTCTCGTAGACACTCTTACTCTTTAACTATATAATAATCCTTTATTGCAAATGAGGAAAGTGCCCGAGAGTTAAAGACTATCTATTTATTTTAAGAAACACGGTGCTGGAAAAGACTTATTTCAATTTGCAAGAATTTGCTGAAATATAAGCACCCATGGTTTCTTTAATAAACCATGTTTGCAAGTTTTGCGTATATAATATATGCGCAAGTGTAGGTAGAAATGTATGTAAAACGTATGAATTTTCTTATTTTTTTCATCAAGACGTTTTTTTTTTTTTAATAATTAATTTCATTACAATTAATCAAAATTATGTTTAATAATAATAATAATAATTATTAATCGAAAGATTTTTTATATATATATATATATATATTTATTTTGTACGTTTACTTATTTTTTGTTTCAAAAATATTCGAAGACTTATGTTTCATTATTTCATTTCAATTTGAATTTTTCTATGAAGAAAAGACTGCTATTATCTTGCATGATGTACAAATGTAATTTGTAGATAGGAAGTTTTATCTGCCTAAATACCACACGAGTAAACGACAACAAAAAAATAATAATAATAATAATAATAATAATAAAGAAAAATACAAAATAAAGAAAAAGGAATTATTCTTCTTCAGCACGTTCTTGCAATTTGTTATTTAAAATGAAAAAAAAAAAAAAAAGAAAAAAAAACAACAACTTCTTTCAAGTATTCTCTAATGAAGTTCCACTGTTATATAATACGATCGATGACTGAACAATGATAAAATTAATGAAATTTCATTTCTAATTGTTTTTATAATTAATCGTGTAATTATAACGAGATTATTACATTCAAAAGATTGATAAAAGGTATGAATATCTGAGTTAAGATAAGTAAATTTGTGCATAATGGAAAGACGATTGACAAATTTTTAAAAATAATCCACACTTATAAATATATTTGATATATAATAATCAATCAAATATAATTATCTTTTATTAAATTAAAACTCGTCGATTGATGCACAATTTTAAAATGATCATCCATAATATATTTCGTATATTCTACAATTTTAACAACATATCATTGCATTTATTAAGAAATTAAAAAAAAAAAAAATAATAAAAAATAAAAACAAGTGCAGCAGATTAATCGAAAGTTAATAATATCAATTAAAAGATAAAAATAGAAAATCAAAAATGCGCATTTAAAATTAAAACATCGTTCTACGAATGCAATAATCATCAAATGTTATGTTTATTATGTCACTAAAAATGTTATATTTATCAAAACTCATTTAAGAGAAAGCGATTTCAAAGTATTAAGTATCCATAGGGATAAGACCGAGTGGTATTTGAAACTATTTTTTTTTCTCTGTATAAAAATATAACTCACATGGCCTTCCATAATAATGTATACTCTGAGGAGACTGAATAATCGCTTTCTCGTAGATCCGCTTAAAATACAAAAAAAAAAGAAAAGAAATGAATTAGTTCATTAATTCAAGTGATTACTCGAAATATAATAGCGCAGACTGATGATAAATCATAGCTTTTAATGCCTTTGGTAATCTCATTTAGTATTATATATTTACGATTAGATTTATTTAGAATAAGTAGATATATGATTATGAAGAATAATAATTCAGTATTGCCAAGTAATTAATATTAAAAATAGTCAAAGTGTTTATTACTATAAATTAAATGAATACAAATTTATCGACTGGGTTTGCTATATTATACTTTTTTTTTTTAGCAGTACTTTAAAACAAAACAAAAAAATACAGTAAGAAGGAATATTAATTAAAAATGAAAGAAGAGTACAATACAAAAGATAACAAATGTTTATTGATTATAATTAATGAATTTATTTTTCTTTCTCGAAGGCTGATTAAAATTCGAATACGAAAAATAAATGATATTATTGTGATATTTTTTTCTTACGTAATTCTTTATTTTTATAATGTTATTATTGAGTATAAATTCGCTTAATACGAAATGTAATTTCGTCATCAGTAAACATGTTACTATTTAATATATCGTCTCTCCTCTATATTAACGTTGTGCAACATAATATAGATTATGTCAATGTGAAACATTTTATCTTTCTTAATGTAATATATTTTCGATATAAACTAATTATGAAAATACTTGCACTAAAAAATAAAATATTATTAACTTATTTTATTTTCCTCTACATTATGTACGAAAATCATGATAATTAAAATCGTATAATAATTAATAAATAATTACATGGAACTGATAGTATTTATATTTATATTTTGTAGCTTTCTATATTTTCTAATTTCTTTTATTTTTATCTTTAGTTACATATAAGATTATAACATTTTTGTTCTTTTTTCATTTCATTTTAAATGATATGAATAATAATTAATGTTTTCTACTTTATCGACAAAGATAAAAAAGAAATTTAATTCCTAATAAGCACCATCTAACGGAACGCAATAGCATCTAATGCGTAGGTAACAAAGGATTGAAAATAAACTATATGGAAATATATTTATTTACTTAATTTATCTCCAAAAATATTATAATTATGCCGTAATTACTTGTAATTCAAATATTTTTGCACAATAATTTATCATAATTTGTAATTAGCATAACTATAATGTTAGTTTAATTGAAACGTAATAAGTAATTGGTACACTTTGTGTTAAAGTACAATTTTGGTTGTCATCCCTGATCATAATATTCTTTTTTAATCAGTGAAAAATAGGTAATTGTGAGTTACAAAAAATGGACTTGAAACTCGATGTATTATAATAGTCATAAAATTGGTGTAGAATAATTTGTCCTATTTGAAAAGCGTGTTAAGGTCGAAATGTCATGTAATTCGACTTATCGTATTCGTCCTGGCACAGTTGGCTTAGTGAATATGTATTCTTTTTTATCGTATGTAGTGGCTTTGTACAGGTGGGCGATTAATGTATTAAGTTAGACATTTTTGACAAGTACTTTATTTAATCGTGTTTTCAAACATTGCACGTTTATTGTATGCAAGAAACGCGATCGTTAGTGTGTAATAAAGAACAAATATGAATAAACATTAAATGTTTTTCCAACTTTTGAAGGTATAAATTTTACTCTTAAAAATGAGTTGGTTACGAAATAGTCCATTGAGAACAAGTTTTACCAAACAACGATCTAGAGATTCACCTCCAAAAGATGCCGATCCATCAGCATGTTATGATAGTTTCTGCAAGCATTGGCAACAAACTTATGACATTATTTTACATACTATTGTGAGTTATATCAAATATTAGATTATTGTAGTAGTTAAAAATATGTTTTATGTAAATATTTTTCAATAACTTTTATCTAATCATTTAAATTCATTATACTTAATCCTATAATTGTATTTTTACAGCCACCAAAGGGAATACCTAGTCAGGACGATGTTCTTGGTGTTGTTAACCACATCGACCAGATGGTAACTCTTCTGGTATTGGAACTCAGAGAGTCTACATCTTCTAAGCATTATCGTCAGAATTCTAGTGCAACGCATTCTCCATGTTTAGAGTACTTATTAAGTGAAAATTTACTTGTCAAATTATATGAGTGGAGTGTACATACCGGAAAGTAAATATTTCTATTTGTTTCATTATATATATATATATAGATATATATGAGTAAAAGTATTACATGTGCATTTCTTATTATTTTTGCTAAACATTATATTATTTTCAGGTTTAATAATGCTGTTCGTTTAGAACAACTGAAGCTTTATGAATTATTAGTATCATACAGTGGTACATTGCTTGCACATGAACCAGTAACAAGGCCATTGTTAAGACTATTAGAAGAATGTGCTAATGATATTATGCTATTGGAAATAGAAAAAAAATTGGTTGTTCTATTAAATCAATTATGCGTAGCATTAATGCAAAATATGGCTCTACTAGATCTATTTTTTCATTCAACAGCAACTGGGAAAAATAAGTTAATAAAGAGAAATGATTTATTATTTATTTTGTAACTTTATCTAAAGATATTTCTTTGATATATATATATATATATATATATATATATATATTTTGCATTAATTTTCAGGTTTATTATTTTTACATTATTGATACCTCACATTCATAAGGAAGGAGGTATTGGACAACAATCACGAGATGCTATGTTATTATGTATGTCCCTTTCGAAAAAAAATGATGAAGTTGGATTATATATTGCTGATCAATCTAATATTTGTCCGGTAAATATTATACATTTTAATATAAACAAATATATTAATTTACAATATAAATAAAATGTATATATATATATATTTCATTAGGTATTAGCAACAGGTTTAAGTGGCCTTTATTCTTTATTACCTCGAAAACTTCATATCGAAACAGATGATTGGCATCGTTTAACACCTGATGATGTTAATGATATACCACCACTTATACAACTGATGAATTCTTTAGAATTTTGTAATGCTGTTGCACAAATTGCTCATCCTATGGTTCAAAAGCAATTACTTGAATTTTTATATCACGGATTTCTAGTACCAGTAATGGGTCCTGCTTTATTACAGGTAAGTAAAAGATTGTAAGCAAAATAATTGTGTGATTTATCACATAATTTATTTGTGATAAAGAAAGGTATTCACTTAGTAGTAGCACTGTACTTTGTAATATTGTAAATCCTTAAATTAACTTTTTATAGAACTAAATTATTGTGATATATTTCAACAAAATTAGTGGAATTCAACAAATCCTTGACATTGTTAATTACTCTTTTTTTTTTTTTTTTTTGTTTTTTATTCCAAATTATTCATACTACATTGTTTGATGATTTTTTTTTATTATTTTATTTTATTTATTGTTATTCATACACATATATTCACATGTAAAACACCTAGAAGCTGTTATTTGATTAATCAAAGCACACGCTATTTAAGACACAAAATTGAATATAAATTGATCACTAGTTATTAATAATGCCTATTAAGTAGTGAACACATTTTTTAACATTTACAAATTTAATTGTAAATTATTTTTATGATAATTTATGTTTTTCTAGCAAATAATTAAAGAAAAACTATTACATAATTTTAATAATTTTATACATTTAAAGAAATTTCAATATATATTTTAAATATAAATATAAATTGCATTAATTTTGTAATATTATAGATATTATTGTAATATTACAAAATATATTATACGCGTAGAAATAATAAACATTTACATATTATTATCTACGTCAAGCATTGCTTAATATTTTGTGTATTTTTCAATATGGTGTTGGTACTGCTAAAACTCAATTTTCATGCTAATGAAGCAAAAGTCATTGATGTTATCCTTTATGATTGTTGGTGGCTATCTGGTGATACGCTCATGGTGCTCCTAGGATTCTCTTGGCTTGACTCTAGAACAGCTAGATGCACTGGAGCACCGGGTTAGTACAAAATATATTTTTGGATATATAAAGATAGTATCTCAGTCAAGAAAGGAAACTTTTGGCATGATAATTTGCTTTTAAAGTCATCTGTTGTAAAAAATGAAAGTTAAAAAAAATAATTTTCTTTAATGTTGTAATTATAACATTTTGTACTGAAATACTGTCTTCATAAAAATATTACTAAAAATATTAAATAATAGTTTATAAATATTTTGCTTTACATCATATACAACATTATACTATGGCATATGATACTTAAACAAATAATTGCAATTTCTGAGAAACAATATTAATTTGTATTGATTTATGCTTACGATATTGTTTAATTATCTTTTAATTTTATTATTTCAGAGCTGTATTTATTAAATCGCTTTTTTGTCTTTTATATTTTTGTGCAATGTGCTTTCTGTAAATTTATGCTTCATAAAAAATCTTATGTGTATATGGTAATGGTTTTTATTTTCTTTTAACTAATTAATTTTAATATTTATTTATTTATTTATTTATTTATTTATTTTATGTCACTCTTCAGCACAATATTTTAAGTTCATTATTATTTAAACCATTGATTATCTCATTTAACAATATGCTAATATAAAACTTTCGTATTTATTCCTGAGTACCCTTCTTTTATCACATAAAGTGAATATTCATCTTTATTTATTTTTTTTAAATTTACCAGGTTCAACGATAGCAGTAATTCATTTTATGAGAGATTAAAAAAGATACATTTTTCATTTTATTATTTTTTTTTAAACAAATAATAACAAAATTCTCAAGGTTACATTTTTGTATACTGTGACATCAGAAATGACTAATAAATAATTTGAAAGTGTTCTGCAATATTTTAAGAACAATTTTATTATTTTGTATAATTTTTCTCTATGTAATATTTTTAGACAACTGTGGATGAATTAGTAGCAGCTACAGCTTATTTTGATTTGTTTCTTCGATCCGTAACAGAACCAGGTCTACTAAGATCACTAGTTAGATTTTTGTTAGAAGATAATTATGACGAATGTAGGATATTGGACAGTCTTATACAAAGAATATCTTCCAGATCAAGGGTACATATCTAAAATATATCTCAATATATTTTTCATGATTAATATTTAATCTAATGATCATTTTATTCTATTAATATTGTATGTTTGTATATGTTTTTCTCTTTTTTATAGTTATGTATTGTAACTTTGGCATTATTTGATACCTTAATTAACTTAAACTGTGAGGATGTAATGCTGGAACTATGCTTAGGAGCTTTAAGCCCTTGTTCTCACGTAATGTTATCTCAACGTCGAAGATTGAAAGATATAGATCCATTTGGACGTGGTGCAGAAAAATTTTTAGCTTTGATACCAAATTGTTGTTCACCATTTTCTCCATTGGCTACACCACCTACTTCGTTACCAAGCACTTTGTCTTCTTCACGTGAAGAATCTTTAAATAGCTTAGATGCATTGAAATCGTTACCATTATCAATAAATTATGGTACTAGAACATCAGACAGTCTATATGGGAATTATCATGCTTATCTTTGTGATGCTAGACAAAAAATAACAGCTTGTAGAATAGCATGTCGTAATTGGTCATCTCGTTACGATGGAGAAATATCTACAGATAATAATACTGGAAGTGCAGTTACTTTAACAGATGAAAATACATTACTTGATCAAACGACTAAAAAAACTGAACAAAATGTAATACTATCTTCAGAAACACATTCAATTACTGTCATTGGTACAAAGGAAAATATTTCGTCCGATAATATATTAGATAATATTCAAAGTTTATTAGAAAATAAAGAATTAAATAAAAATACACTTAATACGGATATACCAGTAACATCAGATGTTGTATTATCGCTTGAAGAACAAGCTAAGTTAGATGCTGATATTGCTGAATTATTAAATGAAAATATAGGTTCTTCAGAATCTATTGTTGAAACATTTTTAACAGCTGATAAAAAAGGCTCTGATAGTGGTATTGATGATTCAAATACAGCTATGAATTCTTTGTTATCATTGGGAGAAAGTAGTGGTTATGAAAGTTTTGCATTTAAAGGATCATCACAGTCAACACCAGAAAATGAGCCAAGTGAAAATCAAATAAATGAACATGAAGAAACAGATTCAGAATGCAATCACGAGCCTAATGTACTTATCCATGATAATGTAGAGTCTAATTCTATATCAGAAGAATCAATAATAAATAAACAAAGTAAAGATACTGCCTGTCGTCAAGATATATTTAATGGACAACCAAATGTTGGAATATTTTTGGATGTTATTTTAAGAAAATTGGAATGTATGACAAGCAATAATTTATATGTTAATTTACATTTAACTGGCCTTATAAGTAGATTGGCAATTTATCCACAGCCATTGTTGCAATCATTTTTATTAAATCATTCATTGGTGTTTCAGCCTAGTATCAGATCATTATTTCAGGTTAATTTATATTATTATTATTATTATTAATATATCATAATTTAAATATTGTATAAACAAATATTGTATTGATATCTTTTTTTATAGGTGCTTGCATCTTTAAAACATAAAATAGATCAGTTTCTATCGAAACATGACAATGTCGACCTGTTAGTGGATCAAGCTAGATCATTTTTAATTGGTCGTGAGGATAGATTAGTAAATGCAAGAAAAAATGCATTAGAAGCTACTGCACAATTTGCATGCAATAAGAGGAATTCTTTAACAAACGACTCATTTTTAAGAGGTACCATTTCTTTTCTAAACATAATTTAAAGCTTAGGCATATATTTTATCATCTTGTTTATCTTTAACGCATACGGACATGTGTGTACGCGTGTATTGGTTACCATGAAGAAGTACTCTATTTCGAAAATATTTATATTACATAGGTGAATATAAACAAAAGGTTGTGTGCAGGTAACAGGTATATTATTAATGTTTAGTTTTAATATCACTTGTAACTTTTTAGGTGAACCTAAAAGGAGAAGCTTTACATCGTCCTTTACACAAATGTTCAGAAGAGCAAGTAATACATCTGGCACAATTAATTTAACAAATTCTATCAGTCAACCATCTAGTATATCAGAGAATCAATTAGAACCTGTTGGATTTGGAACAGGCTACCGGTAAAATTTCTGTATTTAATGCATTTTTAAATGATGTAATTTTTAATATAAAAAAAAAAAAAATTTATATTAATAGATATTATATTAGATCATCGTGGGAATCTCCAAGTGAAATAAGTCCAGTACAAAATATAGTATTATGTGCAGTTGTATTAGATGAATGGTTAAAAGAATTAGCAGCTATTACTCAAGAACATGCCATTATGTCACTTACAAATGGTTTAGAATATAATACATAATACAAGGATCTATAATGATAGTAATTGCTAAATTAATCTAAAAAAAAAAAAGAAAAAAAAGGTAAATAGATACTAATAACAAATAAATAAATAGCTTTGCGAAAGTGTTCATTATTTTTTTTTAGCAGGGTTCTTAGAATTACAGCTACACATTATACAGCTTTATTACATTTTGAAAAATGTTGTTGCATTAATTTAATGTATATAAGATTTTTATCATATAAACTAATATGCTTTTTTATTATTTTCAATCGTAGCATCATATTTGAAGGCAAATTACTTTAATTATTTTTTTGAAAATAATTAGTATTTAATTATTAATTACTTGCACATTTGATTACATTTCATTTATATGTATATATATAAGTAACATATAATTATGTTACTTATATAAATATGTATATTATAAATATGTATTATAAAAGTAAAATTACCTAAGATATTCTTATAGAATATATTCTACAAAAATCTATGAGAACATGAGAAAAACAGAGGGTGAGAGAGAGAGAGAGAGAGGAGTGTTGTATTTATTATCTTGATTTGATCTAATGTTTTAATTTACTAAATTAAATACAAAAAACTGTATAGATTCATCAAAATATCATTGGGGCAAGTAAGCATCAATTTTGAATAATGTTTATGCTCGAACATTAGGTTTTACAACATTAAATATCATTTATATCAAATAGTTTGCTAATAAATTATACAAAGCAAAATAGTTCACAGATAAACTCTATAAGATTTTTGATTTTTTTTTTATCAAAATTTTTTCTCATATAAATAAAAATATATATAATAAATATTATTTTGAGAAAATGTAAATAAGTATATCTATTTTTAATGATTTACACATATGATTTTATTGTTATTTAATATATATATATATATATATATATAAATATTTGATGTTTCTTGTTAATGATGACGCGTACTTATATTAATTGAAATAAGTTTTAAATATTACTTACAATTTTTAAAACAAAATATATTCTTGTAGCTTCTTTATGTAATATACTAACATTATAATTAATATTATTATATAAGATGACATATCTATATTTGAAATATTATATTGAAAATTGTAAGGCTTGTTTTACGATTTATAATTTCAGTAAGGAGTGTTAAATGAATTGCCAAATATCGAAATATCATTTACTCTTTTTTTTTTTTTATAAGTATAAAAGAAATATTATATTATTTATGATAAAATTGATGAATTTTTGATGCAATCAAAATATTATATTATATAAAAAAAAAAATTAATCTTGCCAATAAATTGCAATAATCATGACAAAATCAAACAAATATATTAACATATCAAGGTCTAATTTGAAATATTCAGGATTTAAATGTTTATTCTGATATTTTTCAATATGTATTTGATATTATTTTTGATATAAGCACAAAAATTATATTAAATGATAAAAAAAAAATATATATATATATGCAATATCCTATATAATGTAAATCAAGTTAATAGTTTTGTTAATTTTAATAATATAATTTTTGTATTGATCATTTATATACAGGATGTTTTCAAAAATGTGGACTCAACTTCAAAGATAAATTCAATATACTAAAATAAAATAAAAAGATTCATATGAACGTATGCCCAAAGTTATGCCCATATTTTTGGAAACATTTTGTTGTATACATTTCAATGTTAAATTTTCTTGCCTCAATGTGATATTATAATTATGATTATATAAAAATAATAAAATTATCTTGTGTAAAAACTATTTCTCCGGTACAAAATAAAATATGAAGATACAATTTATTTAAAATAATTGATTGTTAATGAAATTTTCTAGAAAAATTATTAATTGTTATTGATTTACGATTATAATTAAATAATATATAGAATTATATTATTTTATAAATAATTTGTTTATAAGCTATATTATTTTTTCATGCAAATTGTATTTCTTTTTTTTTTTCTATAAAAAGATATATATGCGCATTCAGTTTTATTCCAAATAGTAAATACGTTTTTGAGAATTTTTACAAATAATTAAATTTATTTTCAATTTGTAATATTTCCAGTAATGGAAATTAAAAAAAAAAAACAACAAAAATGATAAAGAACTCTAACCATAATCCAATTAAAATAAAGAAACAATTATTCTCTAATAAGTTTTATTAATAATATAATTGTAAATGTGATGAATTATTTTTAATAAATTTAATTTTATAAAATTATAAAATCTAATTAAATTTCCGTTCAAATTATACAATCAATAAGATTAATTACATATGTTATCTTTCTTTACCAGCGCCCTCTTAGTTTCCAATAAGTATGGTGAACTAAATACAGAATTTTCTTAGTTATTTCTTTGTTATTAGAATAAAACATAAAAATATCCAATATTTTTTACTTATCATCGATTCAAAAATACGAAAAATATCTTTATAAAAAATCTTTGATGCATAAAAACATTAACTTTGATTGTATATTCGTACAATAATAGGATTATTTCGAAACACTAGGAATCTATAATAGTTACCATGACAAGTCAAACAATGAATAATAAGATTACGTATAATAGTTTAATCTGTTATATTACTTATTTCGTTTAAAAAGTTAAATATATACTTGACATTTATTTTCTAATCGTATAATAATTGAATTATTGTAATATTTTAACAAGTATCAAATACTATATAGAAACAAAAACGAAGAGACACTTGCAAATATGGAGGTTGGTTTTTATGTGTATAATATTAATTTTCATTATAATATAAACAATTACATTTTAATTCATTAAAATACATCTTTTATATGTTTTATATTATATTTATATAATTATATTGTTTTTAAGCTCTATGTGTGAATACATTTTAAATGAATTTTTGCAGTGACATGTTAATATCTTTATCAATAGATAAAGTATATCAATAGATCAGTGCAACATATCCAGTGCAAATCTTTTGAAAAGCTTTTATAAGTAGGTGACATTTATTATGAATCAGGTAGATGATTGTTCAGCTGGTGGTGATACTGGAGGAGAAGAAGATGAAGATGATGCTTCTACACATGGATCAGTAAGTAATAGTAGCAGTAGTGGCATGAGTGGCAGTAGTACTTCAAGTGATAGTGGAGAAGACAGCGGAGAAGAACGAGATTCCAGTGGTGATACAGATAGCCATAGTTCTGCGGATGAAGATGATGATGAAAACGAAAATACAGAATATTCAGTAAAAGCAGAAAGTTCAGATTCTATGGTAAATATATAAAGTACATTAATTTCTTAATAATAATAAAAAAAAAGCTTTTCTTTTAAACTGCTTTATTTTCAGAGATGGGAAACTTGTGTTGCTGCGAATACACGACTAAAACTTCCACAAGATCTTTGCGAGAATTCAGCCATCTTCAAAGAACTATTAGATTACCCGTATTTTTGGAATGAATGTCTTAGTGAAAATCAAAGAGAATCTTTATATAGCTTCTTACCAACTTTTCCAAAAGATTGTGATATCGAAGCTGAAATGGAAAGAACATTGCAAATGTTATTCGATAGGGAGGATCATAGGTCATTACATATTTCAATATTCAAATGTAATATTTGTTAATATTGTTTTATACTAATTACATTAATTCAAGCAGATTTGGAGTTGCAACATTAGATGCATTTCATAAACATCTTTTAGCTGGTTATTATAGACCAGATATCAAACGAATGCGCAGTTTGTTGCATAAAGCACAACAAAAAAGACTGCTTTTTGAAGAACGTAAAAGATCATACGAACTTGCCAATCAGTTACTTAAATCACGAGAGAGTTTATTGTCTAATGCATATAAACAGGGTTTTAGCCAGCCAGTACATCGAACAATATCTAAATTTCATTGGAAGAAACCAAAACCAGCAATGGGTAAGTGACTACTCTTATAATAAATACTAAAATTTTCCTGGCTGTTTACATTTGCCCCACACTTCAGCCTTTTGGCAGAGAAGTATATAGTAACTTCCCGGGGACAATACTAACAAGCAATCAACTGATAGTTGAAGAGAAAACCCAGCTACGCTATTTGGAGGAACTGAGTATCCTGAGGACTGAACTGGGAGCTAGTGCAAGGTTAGCACCTGACACAACATCTGAAAATGAAGAAAATTATTTATATTATCAACTATCTGGAAATAAACAAAAGAAGAAAAAGCGTTCCATGATGAGTCTTCAAGGATTATCAATCAGAGGGTTGCAGATCGATGAAGAAGATGAAACTATTCGACCTGTATTTTCGACGTTCCAACGAAGAGACTATGCATCAAATAGGTCACTATTTGTTCGTGAACAAACAGAAGAAGCATATCGTTTAATGTTAAAAGCACATAAAAAAAGAAGAGCACGAAATGATGTATGTTAAACTTGCAATATTAGTTAATGTATAAATCAAATGATAAAGTTTGTAAAACATTTATTTTTCTTCTCTTTTTTCAGAATCATCCAGAATTAAATACTCAGGGCATTTCTCTTGCTGACTTAACTCAAAGGGCACAGATTGGTCAAAAGCACAAGCTTTCAATTAATACTTCTATAAGAATTCCTCCTGCTAAAAAACGTATTAAACTAGAACAGTCTACACTTTGCCCACCTGTACCAAAATTAATAAATTCAAATTCTATGAAACATGAAAGTGATAATAGTGATTATTCTCATACAACAGACGATAATAGACATTCTAATGCAATGGATATAGATCACAAGTTGACACCTATCAAATCTGAACCTGTAGATGTATATGATATACCTCAAGTGTCAAAGAAAAAAATGTATGATTTAAAATTAACAACTAATTTTCCATTTCTTTTAATTATTATTTATTCTTACATTTGTAATTATTCATACAGGAGCCCTGTTACTCCCAAAAGTAATAAACCTATTCCAAGCACAATAGAAATTAAGAAAGAAGTAGAAGAAATAGACTTTGATGATATCAAATCAGAGATTAATACAGGCACAAATGATGATGTTATGCCAGAAACAGAGGAAGACGAGGAAAATGATAAAAAAGAACTTGATTTAAGCAGCATTGACATGATGCAAATACCTATTCAACTTGATGATGGTATTGATATTCTTGATGATGTGAAGTAAGTAAATTATTATCTCATATAAAGGAACTAAGTGTGCATTCTTCAAATTTCTTTTTCTCTGTTTAAGAAGTGAGAACGAAAGTGTTATAACTATGAGAGATAAAGAAATTTCAATACCTAGTGGAGACGATACTATTGATATTAATAGTGGAGCAGAACTAATGCAAGAAACACATGCGTCATTTTTCTCTTTGCTGAGAGATGCTTTTACCTCTAAAGGAGAATTTAGAATGAGTACTGGAGAAATAAAAGATGCCATTACACAATGGCAAGGAAATCCAATTTCACCATTAAATGACTGGTATGGAAAGACATATAATTTAATAATAAAACGTACATTCAAAAATAAATATTTTCAATAATTCTCTATACATATTTTTATGCAGGTATTCTTTGGCATCCTCGTGGCCGTCATTAGTCCCATTAGCCTTAGGATTTCTTGCCGGTGAATTAACATATTCTCAAGAATTGGAACAACAGCAAGAACGGGAACAAGAACTTGTTCCATACTTAGAAAATAAAGGTAGTGGTGTATATGCCTGGATTGGTGCAGGCAGAGATTCGGATTCTCGTCTGTTAGATTTGTGTACAAGATTTCTAATGCACAGGTAACTAAACATTTTTTTATACAAAAATCCTTACTATTTTCTTATGTTCTTAACTGTATGTATAAATTATTTTTTTTTTTTTTTCAGAGATTCGTTAGGACCATCTTATATTTCATCAGCTGTTGTTTCTGTGAAACAAATATCACAATTATCAACGCCAAATAATAATAACAATAATGGAAACAACACAACCAATGGAAACGCTAGAAGTGGAAGCCCTGCAGTTGAATCAATTAATATTGATACAAATTCTCTTGGACCCGTTACAGAATGGGAACCACCTAGAGCATTATGGCCTACAGAATGGAAAGTCCGACCTTCTACAATAGAAGAACGTGAAGAGTTTAGAAGACAAGAACAAATGCGATATGCAGCACCTCATAAAGCATTTACTTATCGCATGCATGGATATGCATCTGTAGTAGGACCAGTCAAAGGCATTTATCAACATAACATTGGTATGTTCTTCTTTAGTAATTAAAATTATTGTTATTTTTTAAATTATTTTGAACATTTTTTATGTAATAGGATCTGGATTAACTAAACCACGAGGACATTCTTTATTAGTAGCTGATCGGCCAAATTTTGTAACAATCTTAGCATTAGTCAGAGATGCCACAGCTCGATTACCAAATGGTGAAGGAACTCGCGCTGACATATGTCAGTTATTAAAAGATTCTCAGTACATCAGAGAACAAGGAGAAAGTGATGATAAAGAAGGGTATTTACATTCAGTCGTGTCAGGTGCTTTAGACAGATTACATTATGAAACAGACCCATGTGTTAGATATTACCCTCGTCGTAAAGAGTGGCTATATCTTCACAGAGCACGTTCAGAATCGGAATTTGGTATGTACTTAAGATCTCATTATTTCATACTTACACATTATCTCATTACTAACTATACTTTAAAACAACGTTTTAGAAATGTATCATCAACAGCTACAAGGTGTAGCAAAAAATAAAAAAAATGTAGGAAATACATCACGGAATAAATTATTACAACCGTCTATCAAACCTATCATACATAAGGAGCAATCTCCTAATAGTAGCAAAGAAACTACTCCCAAAAAAGAAAGGCGTGCTGTTACTGTGGTTCAACCAGTTATAACTCGGTAAGTATTACATACATAAAACCTATTTATATATAGGTTTATATAAAAAGAAAAAAAAATACAATAACCTACTATGCAATAATCTAATTTTGATGTATTATTATTACTATAGAAAAGAACAACGTAAAACTGATGAAAAAGTTACTGTTGATCAGTCAACTTCTTCTGAACAACCACCAGTTGTTAATACAACAACATCAACAACAATCAATGCATCAACATCAGATATTTCTACCGCTACTAGTACTGCTAGTGTTACCGTATCTGTAGCAACTGTTCCAAGCTCTTCTACGCTGACTACCACAACTAACATAGAAAGAAATAATGTAGTTTCTGAAGTTAAAACTTTAACGACGTCAAATGCGATTAAAAAAGTAACTAATATAGGAGGGAAACCAGTTGCTGTAGTCAAAACGAATGCGACACAAAGTTTATTGCAATCAAGTCAACAGCATTTTCCTCATCATCAAATACAAGTGTCCACATCTGCAGGACTGCAGACTATAAGATTGTCAGGACATTCTGTACTTCATTCTGCTCAACCTACTTCAACAAGTACCAGTTCTTGTATAGGAAACACTACAACAAACTTAGCGACAATATTTCCTAATGCTAAAGTTCAAAATCAACAACAACCACAAACGGTGGTAACAAGTCAAACTGGAAAGAGCATTTTGCAAACTTCTAATATAAAACAACAATCTCAGCAACCACATGTATTGCCTGGCAAAACATTGCTGGCATCTCAAATAAAATTAGTGAGCTCTGGACAAATAAAATCATTGCTTACAGGACATGGCCTTCAAGGTCAAACAATATTCATTAAACAATCATCTCCATCAAATAATCAATCTCAACAATTACAGCAGCAACAATTAAAGGTAAAATTAAAAGATATTGTTTTTATCTTTACTACATTAACGACAATTTAATACTACTAGCAACAACAGCAGCAGCAACAACAACAACAACAGCAACAACAACAACAGCAGCAACAACAACAGCAGCAACAACAGCAACAACAACAGCAGCAGCAGCAACAACAACCACAACAACAACCACAACAACAACAACAACCACAACAACAGCAATCACAGCAACAGCAACAACAACAAACACTTCAAAGAGTTGTGACAAATCAGCAACAACAAATACAAACATCAGGAATGCAACGTATAATTGCACAAATAGGTGGTAAACCGATTGCTGTGCAAATACAACAATCTCCACATCAATCACAGCAGCAACAGCAACAACAAAAGATACTAGCGAAGGTTTTGACTAGTGCAGGTGGAGGACAACTTATCTCTGTAGAAAGTTTACTTGCACAAAAAGGGTTAAAATTAGCAACCAATGCTTACCATACTAACCAATTAAATAGACAAGGAAAACAAGTCATACAAACTCAGTATCAGGTATTTACGTAAAATATAATTTCGTTTGTAAAATAGATTATACATAATGTATTTAAATTTATTTGTACGTTCTATTTATTCAATTAGGTAGTGTCACAGGGTCAAACATCTTCGGTACAATCGAAAATTATTGCTAGTACACATCAACAATCTCAGTCACCTCAAACTCAAACAGTCAGAATGGTCACAGCACAAATTGCTGGAAAGCCTATTGTCCTGGCAAGTGGAAATAAAAGCGTTGGCGTTGGAGTAAGTGGGAGTGGAAACGTAGTTCTTGGAAAACAACAAAACCCACAACAACAACAAAACCAACAGCAACCAATAATTCTGCCAAGTCAGTTGCTAAATATTAAAACGTTACATGGTCTTAAGGTGATACCAACGCCTACAGGACTGAAGACAACAGGTGCAGCGGTATACGCTAGAGTTATAGCGCCGACAACAATCTCTTCAACAGTAAATCAACAACAGCAGCAACAGCAACAACAGCAGCAGCAACAACAACAACCACCACAACAACAACCACAGCAACAACAACAACCACCACAACAGCAACAGCAACAATCTGCTCAAACACAACCGTCAAAGAACAATTCACATAGTACACCTTGACAAAATTAATATGGTATTGTTTTATTCTATACTTTTTCTTTGTTTCATCCATTTATATTTTGAATACTTTAAAAGTATTACAGGTATAAACCACGTATAATTTACTTATAAAACTGTAGTTAAAATATGTAGCACTTCATGGTTGCATTGAATTTAATATTTACAACAGAAAATGTTGAACACAGAAATTTCAGATTTTTCATACAATACACACTAAAAACAGAACAACAGCTTTGTATGAATAGGAATGAGGTGATGGATAATATATGATTCATAAATGAAAAAAATAAGCGAAATTTGTATTATGTATGGAGTATTTACAAATGCATGATATAATTTGAATACAAAGCATTACTTGCTCTTGTGTTCTGAAAATATGTAGCGTTAAGTATAAATAAACTTACATATAAGAAAATATTAAGTTATTTTTTTACAGGTTTCTGCCTTCGACATATATAAAAAAAAAAAAAAAAAATAAAAAAAATCTAGTTAGAACACCTAGGTAGCACTAGCTACCGCGTCTTTGGTTCACCCTTTTTTCAAGGATATCATTAGAGACAGTCAATGTGTTCTTACAATATTTTGTATAGATAAATACACCTAAAATTAAATTTGCACAAGAAGACGTAAGTTAAGTGTACCTGTTAAAGCAGAAAGTTATAACAGGTAAATTAACGAAACGCTCATGTTATTATTACATTTAGCATATTAGAATAAACTTGAAGTTATATTTGAGAACTTCTTATTTCTTCGAATATGTCAATGAGATTATTGACACCTATTAGATAACCATCTTCGTGATTTCCCACTTGCCATTCAACATCATGTCGAATTTCAGATAGATGTTGTGGTAGAGGTAATGTCTTTGCGAAGTCAATCATCCATATACCGGCATTTTTAACATCATGCACAAACAATAAGCTCGAACCAACAACTTCATGTGTAGCAAAAAATGGAGATGCCTTAAGCGTTGTTCGTATAGCATTAAGACGTTGTAAATATTTTGGAACTGCATGTGTGTAACCTTCAACAAAACGCTTAAGAGCTTCTGTAACCTAAAGTAAAACTTTGAATTATAATATGTAATTAAAATATTACATTTAATATCTTTAAATTAAACTTAACTGAATTAATTAGTGTATAATTGCAAACCTGTTCACGAGTTTTAGTTGTTTTAAAATCTTTCGAAGTTCCACCATGCGCTAATTTTATACCTTCAACACGAAATCCGAGTGTAGCTGTACTAGAAATGGTTTCTCGCCAGACCATATATCTTGGCTTTGTAACACCTTGTAATCGATGTTCTTCGACACTTGGTGCAGTTGGATCAATTTGTATCATTTTCTCATACATGTCTTTCCTTAGCTACATAACAAAAAATTATACAAAAGTTCCAATGTACATAAAACGTAACGTCTTCCTTTCTGCGTAATTCATCACAGTTATTATTATAATTATTATTTTATTATTATTATTATTATAATTATTATTATTTTATACAATATTCGTCATATTGTATCCTATGGTACCTTAGGTCTTTCTTTGGCTTTTGCCAATTCAGATTCAAGATACGTTCGCACTCCAATTTTACAGTCCATTACACAAGGTTGTTCAAAATCTCCCAAAAGATCTTGAAGTTGCAAAAATGAGGTAACAATGGATTCCTTGTCTATCACTTTATCTTCATTTTTATTCTTTGTTTTTAATTCAGAGTTTTCACAGGTTTCTTCTTCAGATTGTCGAATATTCAAGACTCCTTTAAATTCAGGTACATACGGTCTTAGAATATCATGCATTAGCAATCGGAAACAAGCTTCTTCCTGCGAGCAGTATTTCTTTAAAATAGTTCCCGATGTTGGTCCAGCATGAAAATTTCCTTGATGTCCAGCTAATTGTACCTAAATTAAGAATTAGGAAATAAATTATACAAAATATTATTTGATATATATTCTCAAAATCATTTAATATATACCCATGGATATCGGTGTTTTTTATATATTTGAAAGAATGGGGCCCAATGCACAACATTTCTCAATTTTCTCCAGCCAGATGTCTATAACAAATATATGATTATATTTTAAGACAAACATAAACAATGTGAAATCAAGTATACTTACTCGTAAAGATTTAATCGGTTGTAGTTCTTCAGAGATATCACAGTCATCTCCACTTAAACTGGAAGTAGTAGAACAATTTGATACTTTACGTGGAGGTGGAACATCTAATAATTCAACTTTTGATTGATGTTTTAGCTCGGAAGGACTATCATTTGTATATTCGAGAACTGAAGGATCATCAAATTTAGTGTAATATGGACCAGTAGTTTCCACACATGAATTTCTTCTGTTTCCTGCTTCGTGTAGATCTCTGAAATAAGTAAACATTTTGTTTAAATATCTTAATAAAACTTAATATATATTATAAAATATAAAAATACCTTATAGAAGTAGCATTAGCTTGTCTTAGGCACAAACAGCAGGAATCAGAATGTCTACGAAGGCGACAAACTTGAAGGAACTTTATATTCAATGACTCTTGTATCTCATCACAATCTAGGCAAGAACAACTACTAGTTTGACTCGGACTCCCACTTGTTCCATCATATTTTTCAACATCAAGATTGGTTCTTTCAAAGTTTTCATCTAAGTAAGAATAATCTGAATAATCGCTAACAACCACACTTGGTGTTCTCCAATATCTTGGTCTTCCTTCAGTAGATTCACATTCACTACCTTCTACCATGTTAAAGCAATCCCATCCTGTTAAAGAAAAAATAATCTTGTATTTTATTTACTGAAAGTTCTGACGTCAAACAGAAAAAAAATATACATTGGAAAGTTTAAATATAAAAAGTTCTAAAAAGAAATGAATATCAATGATGAAACATGATTGATATGATAGTATAATCAAATTCTCTTGTTCTTCTTTCTATGTTTCTATTCACTTGTACTTTCTTTCTAGAATTTACTCAAGTAAATCACCTTTTCCTTGATCCTCATCACTCAGTACTGCGCTATCGGAACTGTAACATCTCGTGACCCTCAGTTTGTGTCGATTTTGCTGATAAACACTGTTCGATGTATCGTCATCACTCGGCAAGGTAGAATCGAGACTACAGCATCGAGCTACCGATCCTCTTCTTCGTTCCGTATCGGGCTCAATGCCCTCATCGTTCGGTGGACTTTTACTTAAGACACGTACGACCGGCATCCTTATCGTATCAAACTTGTCGTACCTTTCATTCGCTTCCGTAGAATCATCATTATTGGTATCATCTTCTTTTTGAGGAAGATTCTTCGACTTCATCACGGTGACCCCATTCAGTGGCTGGCGGTTGTGCTGGCAGCTGTAACTGCCGTATTACAGGCAAATATTCAACGATACGATCCAATGGAATGGTGGTCGAAGGATCGACGCGCTCGAGCGCATAATAATAAACGTAAACGAGGAATGAATGATGTTCGATCGTTGTTGTTGATTGATACTAGTAGTTTCACAAAATAATCGTTACCTCGGACTTGACTCTTCTTTAACGCGTGCCCTTCCATTCGATATGATAGCCCATAGTATGAATGTCGTATCGGTTATATTAGACTTTAAATTGAATGCTTTCCAAGGACGATTCCGATGCTACATATCGACAATCCTACTCGACGCCATGTCGCGTTGAGAAACACGAAACTCGACGGGAGTATGCCCAATAGTTGTTCGATACATGCCTTCCTTCCTTCGTTCGCACTCACCCACCGTCCCCACTTTATTCTTTAAAGGAATTTCCTTGAAGAAAGAAGTAACCCTCTTTGATAACTTCTTTCTTTCTTCTCCCTATTTTTATTTGTTTCTGTTATTGTCAGTCACGAATGAGTTCTTAGAGTACAACTCAACGTCCCTTGACAGAGTAGTTTATCGCTCGTAGTAACACATTCATATTGATTCGTTTAACAAAAAATTGAAAAACATCATTTTGTAAAGAATATTTAACGATTTTCTTCGATTGCTTTATCTCCTACTTCATTTGAACGAATTCGTTGAAAATTTATCGGTTCTTCTTTGACACATCGATATATCGATGTAGTATGCTTCTTTTTAATTTACGCGCGCTTTGTACTTGTCATCGACTGTCGATTGTTTTGACCATCCTTGTTTAAACACGATCGTACGCAAAGATTTATTTATTTGAAATTAATTAAAAAAGAAAATAATACTTATGACGATAAACGATAATAAATAAAAAAACAATAGGAAATTCAATCATAAGGTTGTTGTCTTGATGGAAAAGTAGGAGAGAAAGAATTTGCAATAAGTGTGCTTGATAATGCAGTTCGGGAAAAAATGTAGAAAGGATGAGGTTGGAAAGGTATACTGAAATTGTTTTTTATTCTTTCGTTTGACGTCACGCGTGCGTCAGAGAAACTGTAGAAACGAGAAAGTGCGATTGAATGATCGTATTTACGATCATCTCGCAACTATACGTTGTCTGGTATCGTTAATTCTTTCTCCTTCTCTACGAACGGTCCATTATCTCGTCAGTTCAAATGCCCCTCGGCCACTTGAGCCTATCTGTGTTCGCTTCGTTCTATTCAACGCGTATCAACTGCTTGTCGTATAATAATAAATGTTCCTTATTCATTTCGGAATACTTCAAATGTTTATTAGATATCAACGACCTCTATCTATAATTATAACTCAATATTCAAATATTCACTTTCGTATCGCATACAAATAACGAATTGAATGTTATAAAATTCTTTCTTTCCAATCGCATTACTGATCAGTTTTTAACTTTGTTCGTTACTTTTTCATATTATATGGCTGTTATCAAGATCATATGTATACATTAGTATTATTTATATTCCTTCTGTGTTAACTAGAAAACGTCAGGTGTGTTAGAATCATGAACAGGACTATCAACATTTGTCATGGAATTAGGTCAATGTTGTCTCAAGGCTATTCTCTCTTTCTCTCTTTCTTCTTTCTCTCTCTCTCTCTCTCTCTCGAATATATTCTAGATAAATGATGACACATGTGTTAACATCGTATCACCAACTTATAAAATAGACTGCATGTTTTATTATAGTAAAATGTTTTAAATTCCAGCAAACAGAAGCAAATAATATATATTATACATTATCATGTTACACTTTCTTTTTAAGATAACGTGATTGGCTAATGCGTTTCCATGGTAACGTATCAATGACGTAACGCAGAATAAGCAACTACTGTATAATTTTTAAACTGTATATATACTTATTTAGACATTTTTTTTTATTATATATATATATATATAAATAAAAAGTAAGAAAATAAAATTGTTTATTTCATTTATAAATTTAATTTAAAACAAAAATGTAAAAATTGTTTATTCAATATTTTTTATAATTACATGTACGATTTTGCATATAAAAAAGATAAAATACTGTAATCTTATTTTTTCTCTTCGTTTTTTAGAAAATTCACGCGCAATTTATGTATATGTACATACCATACATGTATATATATAGTTAATATGTAACACATATATAGATGGTCCACTTTATACGTCCCCATGTGCTTTATTGACCGATGACGAATAAGTTGATTTTTTGATTATAAATTATTTCGTTAATTTTGAACAAATATTAAGAAACAATGGTCGCTGAACAAAGAAAACGGGTCGAGGACCTTATGACAAAAATGATTGAAGAAATGGATAAATCATTTTTAAGAAAAATGCAGGTAATTACTAATAGATATTATTTTTAGGTTATCTCTGTCTCTTTGTACCTCGTGTTTTTTTATTAGATGATGTAAAGTAAGCGAAAAATTACATGGTCAATTTAAAAAAAAAAACAATGTTTGTTTATATGCAAAAATAATTCATAAGAATGGAATTTTGATATAAATCATAATGAAAATTAATGAATTTTGTTTCTTTTTCAATTTAGGCTAATATGCATAGGTGTGCAGCTACATGTTGTGATAATGAAAGTTATAGCATAATGCAAGTACAAAACTGCGTTGAAAATTGTAGTTCTTCGTTAAACGAAGCACAAAATTATGTTCAAAATGAATTCGTAAGAGTACAGGTTTGTACGATGACTTTTTATATAACTTTTTTTTTTTTTTAGCATTGCTTCTCGTTAAACTTAAATATATAATATATTAATAATACGTACTATTCATTAGAATCGATTACAAAGATGTGTGATGGACTGCAATGATACAATAAAAGATAAAATGAATAATAATTTAACACAAAATGAAGTAGATAGGTATAGTGATGAATTTGACAAATGTGCAACGAAATGCGTTGATACTTATTGTGACTTACTGCCTTCATTGCAAAAATCAATGAAAAATGTACTTTCAAGTAAAGTTTGAAAATAGTACAAGAATATAATAAATAAATTATTCTTCTTACTAAGAGACTTAATTACAAATTTTAACTGTTAATTATAAATCTTTTTTGTAATTTTGATAGTTTTTAAATATATAAAAGTAGATATGACGACGTTAATGAAAACTGTTAATATTTTAAAACTTTCATCATTTTTTTTTTTTTTTTGTAAAGTGCATTAATGCATTATTGGTGGTGTATAATACTTAAATTTTTACATACTTTAGTTAGTTTTCCTGTATTATAATTAAATACAGTAGTTTTATTTCAATTATTACAGAAGATCTTATTTTGTCATTTTTAAAAAGAATTTAATCATTTCATTTCATTTCATTTTTTTTTTTTTTTTATATATATAGGCATAAATATTTTTTCATTTGTACATATATAAAAAATATGCACTTGTTAATAAGATTTGTTCCTAATGTTTTTTCAAAGAAAACAAAAAAAAAATATAGATAATATAACAGTTAGAAATTACAGTGTCGTTGTTAACTTATTTTTTAAACATTATTTTAATTCCAAATATTCAGTTTCATTTTTGTTGTTGTTGTTGTTGTTGTTGTCTATTTATAAGTTTTAAAAATAATTCTTACAAATTGGAAGTAACATTCCGCGCCGCTTCGTTTTTCTTAGATATCATTTTGACGTGTACTGCCTCATCTAATACTTGCTTCTTCTCAAATTTGTTTCCTGCAAACAATAGTTGTACAAGATGACGTTTTTTATAAGACATAGTGAATTAAAAAAAAAGGAGATAACGAACTGTATGATCATGGTATTTATTAACTGGTACATTTGTTCATTGCACCAATACATTTTCGTTTCTCTTTTTTCTCTTATTTTTCTATTCAACATAATAACAAATTCACTGTTGCAATTAATATCTTTTCTTTATTGTTACAATAGACATTACGCTTATTGCACACTTTTCCATGATATAAAACCTTTCCACCACTCTCGCTCAGTACAAATAATTGATCAAAATATATTCGCACGAATTCTGATCTAATAATATGTAGAAATCTGCAAAGAAATCGTTTAAATAATAATAATAATAATTAATAATAATAATAATTAATAATTAATAATAATAATAATAATAATAATAATTTAATTATAAATATCAACGCAAATATATATTTCATTTTATTTCGGTTTGCGTATGAGTTTTCTTTTTATTTTTTTTTTTTATTTTTTGTCTATGAAAATTCGATATTGGGCTAGTTTTCTTTGTTTTTTCTTTTCTTTTTCTTTTGCATTTTTTAATATCTATTCGATAATATATACTCGTACATTAAATTAAGCTGTTCGGTTCTTTTTCTTTTTCTTTCTTTTCTTTTTTTTTTTTTTTTNACTCTTCGCTGATATGCAACACACAAATGTTCGTTGAAAGTATCTCTTGTCGCACATATTTTCTAACGATAGTGATGTGAATATTCTCTCTCTCTTTTTTTTTTTTTTGTTTTTTTTTACTCCAACCCGAGAAAGGCTGTGAGAGGCATAGTGCATCATTATTGCGCAATGTTGATTAGGAACGAAGACGCGCACTCTTCGCTGATATGCAACACACAAATGTTCGTTGAAAGTATCTCTTGTCGCACATATTTTCTAACGATAGTGATGTGAATATTCTCTCTCTCTCTCTCTCTCTTTCTCTCTCTTTCTCTCTCTCTCTCTCTCTCTCTCTCTATCGTACACGTACGTATGTTTATCTTTATTTATTTATTTTTGTTATACCAAATGCAATTATTGTGTTATGGTTGGTGTGTGCGTGCACGCGATTTGAGTGCGTGTACGTCTACATTTTAAACATATTTTAATGTCGCGTAGTGGAATGGAATGAGTTTTGGAAACTATCAAATTTTAGTTTTGATTACTGAAAGTATAAAGTATTATATAAGTGAAGAATGTTGCGTTAATTTATTTCGCACCCTATTATTGTGTACCGATTGAGATAAAGATCTACTGAATCGAAATTTATCATTGTCAGTTAGATCCCTAATCAATCAGACTTTCTTCGGACTAGATTCTTTTTCTTTTCAGTGTCTCATTGAAATTATATGATGTTTTTCATTTTCTCTTCGTTAAACACTAGTCACACATCTCAGAGTTTATTCTGGTTTTTCTCTTTTTTTTTTTCTTTTTTCTTTTTTATTTATTTATTTATTTATTTTTTTTTTGTTTATTATTATTATTTTTTTAAATTTCCCCTAAGTATTATGTCTGTTAAAGAAGAAAATAAAAATAGAAAGATATAGATATATATATATATATAAAAGAAATTTCAATTTTGTTCTTCTCTTTTATAGTTTTGTTTGAAGAAATTTAGCCAGCCACGAATAAAGTATATACTTTTTGTTTTTTTGTTTTTTCTTTTAGCAATGGTACATTAAATATACCGATCACGAGATTGTATTATACAATTCGAACAAAAAAAAAAAAAAATAAAAAAAAAAATCGTCTAATCATAAATTCAACGAGGATAAAATGAATTTACGATTATTTCGTATATCACATTTATATAAACGTCAATTATGTGCAATAACGAAAACATAAAGATACACAACACATGCTGGATTTAACGATCGTAGATAGTTTTTTTTCTTTCTTTATCGCGGAGGATCTGTTTATGGATTTGAAAATTTAAGCGGATTAACTTTTAGAGTCCTTTCTTTTTGTAAATATTCTTGGTGTTTTTTTCTTCCTCTCTCTAATGTGATTATTATAAGAGAGATTTACATTTATAAGTGGAAGGAAAATGTGTTAAGATCGAACAATTCGTTTCTAAAATTCGTCTTTTCTTTCCTCATTTTTTTTTTTTTTTGTAAGTTTGCGATACGAAAAACAACAATCCACGACGTTGTAAGAATATAAATTACTCATTCATCAAATGTTTATTATTCTCATAAAAGTCCAGTGTGAAACGTAATGAGAGAAGAGTACTGGTCAAGTTTGCCGGAATACCGATTTCAAAAATGTCTAAATAGAACTGTATCTTTTGGTCCTATCCTAAGCTATCCGATTGTAAATTAGCTCCTTCGATCTTCATTGCTTAATTATAATATCGTGTTTAATCGTGTGCCTGCAAATGGGACACGCGGAGTCCTTTAAAAGCAGGCCCACCACATCCTTCTTTACTATATTCTATTTATCGCGGAGCTAAGCAGTCATTTTGTAGCCCTGCATGACTGCCATTGTCTC